CTGGTGTTGTCCCACTAAAGCGGGGCCCTCTTTGGGGTTTAAAAAAAAAAAAAAAAAAAAAAAAAGAAAAATTATCCTACTTTTTCCTGATTGAACACAGAAAAGTTTTACAACTTACAGCCATATTTGTCTCCTGAGCCTCTCAAAACACACTCTCGTGGGACTCTCCAACTGGGACAGCAGCTACTGCCAGAGGTACGACAGCTCCTGGAGCAATCCTCTCCTCTCTCTGATAAGGGTCTTACAATTCCTAATAAAGGCAGCAATTTTGCTTCCAGCTTTTACAAAGCTTTTTATGGCTCTGGCTGCTTAAAATAATTAGGAGCCATAAATTCAGGGCAAAAAGACTTGCACAGTGTGACACGAGGGAGGGAGTATTGACTGAATCAGATTAAATCCTAGTTTATACTGGTGAACAAAACACTTCCCACTTCAGATCTTTGACTTCCATCTCTTAGCTTTGTCCCTCACTGACAGGCCTCAAAGACCAGAGTTAGAGCCTGGCTGAAATGACAAAACAGGTTTCCTGCCCCCTTTACAATTAACACCACTAACAACCGCAGTTTCCCATGCTGGAAGTTCAAATCCAGGCAGAAGCAGCCATGCTGGCAGTTCAGAGAAATATGCAAAACGAGCATCTCAAGAAAACCAATTCCATGAACAGTCTTAAACGCCAAGCTAAAGCCTGAAGGTGTAAGAAGAACAAATTACCCAGAAACTCTTCTTGCTCAGACATCTAAGTGCTCCCAATCTGTTCCTGTTCACACAAGGCTCCCAGTCTTTAGGGCAGCCAGCCTGCCTGTCACCTTCGGCAACGACTCCAGTGCAGACAGCATTAAGCTGGACTGTCCAAATCACTCTCTGCCAAGCCAGCGAGGATGCCAGGAGGGTGAATTCAAGTCTGCAAATGCTTAACTCACAAGACAATCCGTGCAACGCTAGGAAGCTCACTACCACGCTAAATTATCGCTGCTGCTCTCTGCAGCTGCAGGTACGCTACATATTCAGATCTAGGACGTTTCTTCAAACAACCTCAGCATCAGACGACTGTGATGTTCAATTTTCTTTTCAGCGAAGAGTTAGTGCTCAGCAGAGAGCTGAAATCATTACTGCTGCAAGGTCCGGGAGCTCTCCTCATGCATCTACCAATCGGCCTCCAATCTCCCTTGACAAAAGGATATTTGGACTTTTTCCTGGAGAAATCTCTCATAATTCAAGGTAACGACACCACTGCCACTTTCACCCCCTTCCTTTCTCCCGGTGTTGTCGTTGTTTCTGGGATGCATTTCTTTGTGGTCCATCAGCAGCGCTGCCAGCCTCCCTACTCCCTTTATAATATAGCTCCACACATCTTGTAGAGATGCCAGATTTGCGGCGTTGTCTTGTCAGTATTTCGAGGAGTTCAATAAACATTTTAATTAAAGGAATGTCTTCTGAGCCAAGAAAACCGCAGCACGGGGCAGGATTACAGCCCCTTGATGGCTCATCGCCAGCATGACACTACTTCCAAGTGTAAAAGCTCAAACCAGCTCTTGTGCCAGGTGACACAAAGTGGGGGGCTACAGCATGGCCACACAAGGGTGCCAGCAATCCTGGGTGAATTTTTTTATCTCGCTGCCACGAGGCCATTGCTCCCCTTCTCTTCACCTTCTGGGAGGCTGCACAACCCCAAACTCTGCCTACAAAGGAGAGCATCCTTTGCAAGTATCCACTACACAAAGAGGGGGCAGAAGCAGAGGGCCCTGTAGGAATCGCCCAGTTTAGGTGCTCAGGAAAGTGGCACCCATTGCTCAAAGAGCGCACAGGTCTGGCAGGGAGGAGGTTCCGCCTGCTCCTCCTGCTGGTACTGCAGCAGCCAACAGCTCCTGCCTTCTCCTAGGTGTACAAAAGCAGCCACCGACTGGTCTCCGTGCCACAAAGCCCAGCTTTGTGTTCAGACCAACCCCAGCAACAGCTCCTCATGCTTCTTTCCAGACCTGGGCACAGAGATATATTCCTGTTTTTTTAAGAGGAAACATGACAGAACAAAGACATGGCACAGCTCACCATTACAGCCTCAGCGCAGCAAGAGGAAACGTGTACCTCCCGGGTCTCTCACTCAGGTCTATGGGTTGCCAACACAGAAAATCCAGGTTCAGGGCTCTAGGACAGGATCAAAAGCGCCGCAGAACACGATGCAAAACAACACGCTGTGGCTACACTGACCCAGACCTGTCCTGCCACTGAAAACTGCTATCTACACCCTCTGCAGCTACTAAACTCCCTGTTCATCTACGCAAACTGGTCTGTTCTTGCAGTTCCTACTGAGATGCTGCTCGGCTCCCCCTCTTCTTCTGGGTCCCTACTTCATTTGCAGCCAGATCATTCTAGTACTTCTTGCTCAGCTTTTCTTTTCCAGACCAAAGTGTGATGTAACGTAACAGACCTGCAACTAGCTTTGGAGCGAAACACCGCCCTGATCGTTCCCTCACACATGCACTTCCACCAAGCCCAAAGCTCTGTAAATTGAAATACCTATTACTATAATAACAGGTTTATTCCACCGAAATTCCAAGCAACTGACGACAGGAACATCTTCCACATCCTCAGGCTTGCTGACCGTTCCCACGACTTCCCAGCCTTCTGCAGTTTTAGCCTAGAAAGGGAAAGAAAACAGATGTTAAAAAATTTCCTACTTTTCAAGCTTAAAAAGCAAATAAGTCATGTATGCAAACACACTTTTTTTTTTTTTTTAATGTTTTCAGTTAAGCTGACTGGCTTTTCTAGATTTTTTGGTATCCCTTGAATTTTTACCACCCAAGTTCTCCCAGTACCAGCACACAAACCTTGATTTAAGGGAAAAAAAAAAAAAGAGAGAATTAAAAAAAAGTAATTTTCTTTCTGGCGTTTATTCCAGTTCAGCAAGCAAGCAAACAGCAACTGAAAAGATTTTTTTTGCCCACACAACAGTTCTAGGAAGGTTTTTGCCAGGAAAGCATACAAAAAGAGTAGTGTTAAACAAATTAGCATAAGGCTACTCCACAGAGCAATGCAGTGGACGTTCTCAAGTGCAGGCTCAGCCATCAGAAGCCCACAGTAATATTTTCAAACACAAGTGCACATTTTCAAACTCAGATGCCAAAAATCAGCTCATACAAAAGGCAGGGCACTCAACATTCAGTGCCTCACATAACCAGAGAACCAGCCTTCCCTCCCACATCCTAGTAAAAAGAGCATTAATTATTTTTCTTGGAAATCCATTTTAACAATAAAAAAGCCACTGCTTCTTGCCAGCTTCATTTCCTGTGAAATTGGCACTTTTTATATTACGTTATATCAAATTTACACCAGCCAGGCAATGCCAAGGGTTAGGCCAGTGAATCCGGGTCCAACTAAATGAACTGCTGCAATGGCTCAAAATGTTAATAATTCAAGCTTTACAGAAACAAAGTGATTCTTCTAGCTGTTTCAATTAAATATCAATGTATTTTACGTATCTTGCGTTTCACCATCATCCAGAGCTTCAGCTGCCACAGACCCACTGTATAGCTGGACAAGGGTTTTCTAGCACCAAGCAGGAAGAGTCCAGGCTTATCTCCGCTCGGCCTCCTCGCGGTCACACCAGACTATGACGAGCTCTTCCTCAAAGGGACACAGGCACGCAGTGACCCTGGGAGCACAGACCAGGTGCCTCTGTTCCCCCAAGGGTCCGCAGCCTCTGCCCTCCCGTCCCATGCTGAACCCTCCAACCCCACAGCTCCCCCAGGTCTGGGGGATCCCACACAAACAGGAGGGCAGATGAGAGCCTGCAGCTCCCTGCTCCGTGCGTGCACAGTGTTCAGCCGGTCCCCAGCCCTGCCAGGGCACAGGGGACCTCCACAAGGAGTCCAGACAGTCACACGGTGCTATCACAAGGGATGGATGCACTCTGCCAATTCAAAGCAACTTCCCTGCGTTTGTTTCAGTTTAAATCATTTTTTTTCCACGTGCATTCCCCCCCTCTTTTGCAACACCATTCTGCAAAGGGCCCTACCTCACCTCACCGCATAGGTACAGCTTAAAAAGATTCTCAGCAGCTCACACCAGCCCTGGTTCCTCCTCTCTCCCCTGCTCCAAAGGCTGCCCAATGCTGCCATCGTGTGCCTGGGCCCCGGGATGCTGCCTCCGCCACACGCCAGGCAAGACCCGCTGCAGGCAGCAGCGCTAGCTCTGGTCCCCACGGAGAGAAAGGGAGACAGACCCCGTCTTACCGAGCTGGCAGCCTCGGGAGATAGACACAGCGTGATCCTGCTATCGCCATTTTCCAGAAAAAGACTCACAACTCAGCCCTGTCACCCCAGCCGATGGAATGGGACTGGGGCTGCGTGCCTGTCAGAGGTGGTCCGACAGCACAGACCACCGGCAGCAAACAGGAACGCAGAGCAGGAGCACAGAACGCTGCAAATCACCAAGTCCTTTTCCCTGCACCTCCTCTCTGTTCAACAAATGCAATATTTGAGGTTTCGTGAAACCAATGGGAAAAAAAATGTGGATAATTTTACCTTCAAAAAGCTCCGGAGATCACCTGTGCTGTAGACATCGAAGACTTCCATAACTCCAGAGCTAGCTTTGCTCACTGTCGGAGTCAAGGGGCAGCTGCAAGGAAAAAAGAAAGGAAAAGCGTCATATGAGAGCAAAAAAGGAAATCCAGGAGAATTTGTGTTTCTGTATGTCTTTCTCTTGCCTCTGCTGCCCAATTCCAACTAGTCCACTAAGATCTTGCTCGCTATACGGATATATTTTCCTATGGAGAATAGGAGGGCTCAGAAATTAACCCAGGAAATAGGTTACAGCAGTTTTGTGCACAGATGGACAACTGAAACACAAAATGGGTTAAAACAAAAAGTACCCAGGGAGATTCCTTACCAGCCTGGAATACCACGTCCTGCAGCCTCCCTGCAGAGCGCAATGCAAAGCAGCAGCTAGCCAAATTCAGCTCTCAAGCTCAGTCCTAGAAAGCCCTCTAAAGAAGCTGTCGAGCAATGCAGGCTAGAAACCTCTTTGGGAGCCAGCAGGAAAAGAAAGAGAAAAGCTGAAGGAGCAGATAACCAGCCCCATACCTGTTCCTCTGGCTTGTTACCACTCTGTCCACCCCCAAGAAGTACGCGGAGCGCAGCAGTGCCCCCAGGTTCATGGGATCCTGGATCTGCTCCAACACCAGCCAAATCAGCTGTCGGGTCGGACTCTCTTCATCCCCCGAATCAGGCTTTTCAGCTTCCTCCAAACTCTTGAAATGGAGAGGCGTGGCCTCCAAACAAACTCCCTGGTGCACCTGACCTCTGCAAAGAGCATCCAGCTCTCTCCTCCTGACGTGGTGCACGGGGACTCCCCGGGCCGTGGCCTGAAGGACAAACTCACTCATAACAAGCCGCCGAGCGCCGCTGCTCTGCTTGAGGAACAACCTGAACAGGTCCCTTCTCGACTGAGAGAGGGCCAGGGAACACGGTGCAATCCCAAATAAGATCTCTGAGCCTTTAGTCCTCTCGATGGACAGAGGCTTTCGTTCCAGCCTCTTCCTCGCCTTTGAGAAGTCGCCCTCTCGCGAGCTCCACAACTCCGCGTTGGCTGGCGCAGCCTGCCTGGCCCCTCTCTCGTACCGCTTGTGCCACGGCCGTGGCCAGCTCTGCGGGGCCAGGCCCTCGCGGGAGGAATGGGGGTCAGCCACCGCTCCAGAAACCTCCGGGAGGGCCGGTGGGGGAAGCTGACCGCCGCCATCCCTGCCTCGGGGTGGCCCTTCCTCACGCCCTCCTGCGGCTGGCGGTGCGAAGGGCGGGGGCCGCCGCTCCCGAGTGGAGCGGTACCTCAGCCCCCAGCACCAAGGGCCGCGGTGCGCGGGTGTCAGCCCCACGGCCCTCCAGACGCCGGACTTGAGCGCTTGCTCCATTGGTGCCCCCAAGGCCTTTCCACGCGGGAGAGGCCAGCGCAGGCCGCGGCTGAGCTGACAGAAGGCGGCCCCGCACCACCCCACGGGGCCCTGGGTGGGGGGAAAACACCGAGCTCAGCTCCAGAGAGAGCCCGC